CTCTTTAAGTTCCAACACCTTTCAAAGCTACAGGTATGGCTCTAGTTTTGGATTCTGTAACTCTTGGAAAAGCTTTTTGGATAAGGCGGTTGCCCTGGTTTCACTCAATCTCTCTACCTGGGTCAGTACTGTGATTCTTGTTCAAATGCTGGCCAGACTCTGTAGACTAAAGCACACAGATCATCAGAGCAACAGGCACAAGTTATCCATCTCTTTCTGTTCCGTGTTTGTTCACTCTGAGGATCTTGCACTTGGTACTTAATGCAAGAAGTAGCCCTATGGAAAGAGGAGGGGAAAGGTTGACAATACAAGCCCCTAAAACCAATCCCTAAAGGAAAGGTGTAAGGTTCACATCTTCTGAACCTTCATCCAGGAAAGAGAATTCTCCACCAAGAACTACTCCATCTTTTAGTCCCAGTCGTGTTTACTTCTCAGGACATTCCTTTCATACTATTCCCACATCAACTTTATACAACCTGTATTAAAATGACCTACCCAAGGTGCTGGCACTGTGGTGTAATGGGCAAAGCTGCACCTGCAATGCCAGCATCCCATCAAGGTGCCAGTTGGAGTCTGGGCTGCTCCTCTTGCAATTCAGCTCCCTGTTAATGTGCATGGGAAAGCAGCGGAAGATGGCACAAGCACTTGGGCCCTTGCCACCCACGTGGGAGACCCAGAAGAAGCTCCAAGCTCCTGATTTCACATTGGCTCAGCTCTGGCCATTGCAGCCATCTGGGGAGTGAAGCAGCCATCTGGGGAGTGAACCAGCAGAATGAAGACCAATCTCTCTCTCTCTCTGTCCCTCCCTCTCTCTGCTTTTACCTCTGCCTCCCTCTCTGTAACTCTGCCTTTCAAATAAATAAATAAATCTTTAAAAGAAGCCCTACCCACACAATTTTAACTATTATATGCTCTAAGTCTTAGTGTTAAAGGAACATATGAGTATGATAAAATGGGATGGGTCTTACCAACCTGAGTTCAAATTATGCCATTGATAAATGGGTATTTAAAGAATTTTATTTTTTCAGCTGTCAAAGATAGGTAAACCTTGGAAAACTCCAGCAGGGATTAAATGAGACACATAAATAATAAATACCCTCACAATCATAAATATCAGTGCCCATTTTCCACTGAGACTAATTTAAATTTAAATAGAAAGAGACTGAGATTTTTTTCTTTCTTCTAGAATTTCCTATAGCATATTTTTTAGAAATCAAAATTATGGATTTGTTTTCTTCCTGGTTATAGTAGCAACAATTATCTCATGATGCTTTCCGAAGAATATTCACATTCATTTCCTATTGCACTCACAGCCATTCCATAAATACACACACTTCAACCCTACACCAAGAGCAGAGCAGCTATGATTTAATAATGAAACACAGGTTTTAGAACTAATGATTTAGAAGTAAGAGGGGGAGCACAGAAGGGGTGATGGAGAAAGAACAGATTCTACTCCTGATCTCAAGGCCTTGTATTCCATTTAGGACACAAGGATAATAGACACAAGAGTCTAGAAAAATACCTACCAGGATGTGGTTAAGAGAATAATGCAGCCGCAATGGCCAGAACTGCGCCCATCCGAAGGCAGGAGCCAGGAGCTTCTTCTAGGTCTCCCACACAGGTGCAGGGGTCCAAGCACTTGGGCCATCTTCTACTGCTTTCCCAGGCCATAGCAGAGAGCTGGATAGAAAGTGGAGCAGCCGGGATGCCTGCGCTTCAGGCCAGAGCGTTAAGCCACAGTGCTGGCCCTACGTAAACTGTTTTCATCTGTGTGTTTACATTGATATATTCTTTGTTGCATTGTTTCTTCATGTCTATTACCTGTTTTATAATAGTTTACAACAGGGTTTTTTTTTAGATTGTTTTGGGAGTTCGATATGCATTATAGATAATAAGTCTCTGGAAGATAGGTGAAGAGAAACACATTTTCTTCCAGGCTCCAGATTGTCTTTTTATTTTGTTAACAGGATTCTGATTTGGAGAGCACATATGTAATTTCCATGAAGTCTGGTGTGCTAATCTTTTAGGGATCTTACTTTGTTACCATGTTTAATAAAACTTGGCCAAGTTCAAAGTCCCAGGTTTTTATGTTTTCCTATAAAACTTGTATAGCATTACATTTTATGTTTAAGACTTTGAACTGTTTAGTCAATTTTTGTCTAAGAGGTCAAGATTTTTCTTCTGTTCTTCAACTGCTCCAATTCTGTCAAAATCTTGTCCATCTTTCATGTATTTGCTTTTGCATTTTTGTCAGCATTGATTGGTTGTTTTGCCTGGAATTGGTTTGGGGTTTTCTATTCTCTTCTGCAGAAGACTCTAATCATAAAGTAATGACAATTAGAGGGAAATATGAACTATCCTGACTTGATCAGAACAGGTTGTATATGGTTATTAAAATGCCACCTCCACTCCATTAAAAAAGAGAATAATGCATGAAGCTCACAAATGCTCCACTTCTTTCAACAAGAGGAAGAGTAGCATGAACCCAAGTAGTCTGGAAGATCACATGGGGTGTGAACAAGGCCCTGCAGCAAAGGTCAACCACACACAGAGAAAAGACGAGCTGGAGCAATGTCCTTGCAGCTACAGAAGAGTCAAAGGTTCCCGACCCTGTCTACACATTACAGTCACCTGAGCAGATATTTTAGAATTCTCTTACTTGGCTTCTAGCACCAGAAATTCTGCTTTAATTGGTCTTGGGAGGGGTCCAGCTTCACAAGTTTTACAAGTTTCTTTAAGGGATTCTAAGGTAAAGCAAGGGTATTGTATTGTACCAGATTGTACTTCTAAGATCTGCCACAGAATGAGATTGGTAAACCAGTCAAGGTAGAACACACACACACACACACACACTCACACACACACACTCACACACACACACACTCACACACCAAATTTGTGAGAGTTGGTTTTGAAGTTCAAATTTTGTTTCTTGGGTTTTCCCTAAATCTTTCTGAACAAAGATGTGAGATATTTATTAGGAATTATGTATCCTGGGAATGTATCATGTACTAACAGCTTGGTAATTTCTGCTACATCAAGGAAAAGTCAAGATGAGGGTGCACTGCCACACTAGCCAGCCTCCTGGTTCAGTGTACAGACGAGGCTCCAGTTTCTCCAGCAGAGAAGGACGACTTCAGAAGCCTTTAAAGAGGGCTCCGCAGATGATTACTTGGAAGGGACTCCTGGTCTAACCTGAGAAACAAGGACCACATCCCAGCCTCTATCAGAAAAGCTCCGTGTCTGCTTTCATCTCCATCTTCCTCCTCCTCCTTTCACACTGGCCTCTTCCCTTCCTCAAACCAGACATAGCCCTCCTGTCACAGGTCTGATCAACACTGTCTCCACCCGAGCTTCTCATCTCCTTGGATCTCAACTGGAGCTTCACTTCTTTGGAGAAACCTCCCTCCATTCACTGGCCAGATCAGATCCCCTGTCAGTTACTTCTATTAGTACTGCACATCCTAAATTTATAGCATTTATAAAATTGGGAATTTTATATTTATGTGTGTGAATGCTTTATTAAATTCTTTCTTCCCCAGTAGACTGAACATTAGGAGGAGAGATTTCTATCTGGCAATTCTTATCACTATTTCTCCAGTGTCTAGCCACATATTTCTTAAATGATTGAATGAATGAATTACCAATATAATATTTCATTGGTATGTGCATCTTTAAGGAAGGCTTATGTGATTATGATATTCCAACAGCTACAGAGAGGATGAGAAGGAAATAGTATAGGTGAAGAGAGCAGAGCCATACACTTCAAACAGAAATGGGAGAGCATATGACAGTCCTGCTTAACCTGGGCTGGCCAGATAGAAGAGACCAAGCAGGCCAGCACTCAGGCAGGTGGAGAGATGTGCAGTGGCCACAGAAACCTGGGAAACCTTTGTGCTTATTAGACTTTCTTTCCTTCTTTTAAAATACTGACAAATAAAATTGTATATATTTAAGGTATGCAACAAATTCTGATACATGTATACATTGTGGAATGGCTAAATCAAGTCAATTAACATATGCTGAAATTTATTTCTAGGGCAGTGAAAACTGTCACAGTCTTTACAAGTGAAACACCTGCTTGGTATTTAAAAGACTTTTGGGTGATAACTCAGGCCTAAGAGAAATGGAAGGAAACATGAGAACAGAGACTCTTTGGAGGGACATGGCTACGTCTTGAAAGAGTCTGTGATAGTCCAGGTTAGAAAAGTTACAGTAGAGATGAAAAAAATAGATGGAAGAATAATTTGGAGACAGGTGATTTGTGAAGACTATGTATGATCCTATGCAGCAGGGGAGGCTGAAAGAAATTTGTCTAAACTGCTATCACTAGAGATGCAGAGCCAGAACCCCAGAGTGTCTTTTACATATTGCCTTTTACACCAATTGATAACATAATCTAGGTAAAAGCAGCATAATGCTTACAGTGCAAATAAAGCCTCCAGGTAAGTCTTGCTACAATTCTTTTGAACCCCTAAGTTAGCCCCAAGAGACATCATTAATCCTACAAGTTTTCAACCAGCATTTAAAATATCATTTAGTGAATATTTTCCTATATCATCTTAATAACCACTTTGTTTAATAATTGTTTCCCAATCTTTCCAGATAGAGATTTGAAGCACAATAAAATAAAAAAGTACATTTGAAGTACAAAACAGTTCTTCCCAAATGAAGAGTTAGCGGTAGCTGAGGCAGAGATCAAATGCAGATTAGCCTGATTGCAGAGCCCAGACTTACCATAACCCGGTGTTTAGTCCTTTCCTCCACCCTGCGGCTAGGCAGTCTCTTCCAAGACTGCGTAGAAGCCCAGGCTTTCACACTAATGTGGGATTAGCATTTTTCTTTGTATTCAACCCCAGACTGGCTTTCAGCTTCGCTGATTCTGACACCATATTTCCTATAACTTAGGAAATGCTATGGAATATGGGAACCTTCAGATGTGGACTTGATTGAAATGAATGAAGTTTGTTTTCTTTTATGTTCTATTTCTCTCTCAGGCTTGCATATGCTAGTGGGTCCAGATGGTTGGAATCATCAATTGAAAACAAAGAGAACACTAAGAAAGCAGCAAGGGAGAGAGATACCAAGTGGCAATTAGGGATGAGACAGCTAAAATGGCTTCATGATGGTAAGGATTCATTCTTTCATTAAAGACAAATTTGTATCAGTTAGAGTCTTTTTCTCCTTCTGGCCTGAAAAAGCAATTTAACAGTAATAAATTGCCACCAAAATTCTTTATTTTTGTAAGAAAATGTGTGCTAGTTGTTTCCTCAGAAAGCAAGGTAAGTCATTCACATTACAGTTTGGCTGATGTCAAATAGGTTGAAAAAGCCAAGACAGAGCTTTCCTTTTGGCTCTGAGTCCCTGGATTCTTCTGCCAAGCATCCCATGTGGATCCTCTGAGCTGCTGCTTGGAAGACAGGCATTTTCAACCTCTGCCAGCCTCACCTCAAAGCAACAGACAATGGTTTAGCACCACAGAAGAACTTTGTTTGCTTTCCCAGTTTCTTATTGGTAACACACGCAACAGTGTTAAACTTACTTCAAGTTCTGATTAAAACAAGTGATGAAGGCGGGGAGAAAGAGGGAGGAAGAGAAGTAGAGAGCGGGATGAAGAGTGAGAACAAAAGAGAGAAAGAGAGAGAACAGGGGAAAAATAAAAGGAGGAGATGGAGAAGCTAGAGATACAAGAAGGGGAAAGGGAGAGAGGAAGGGGTCAGAGAAAAGAGGGAAGAGAGAGGAAGAAAGGGGGAGGAAAGACCTTACCCTAGGACCTTAAAGGAGTAAAAGAATTGAAGGTCACTTGGGAAAGAACTGTAATTCTACTTTCAGATATCCAAACTGTTGCAAATAAGGTTAAATAGCTATTCCTGTGTACTAGAGTCACTCAGAACACCTTTAGGAACAGCTCCAAAAAGATTTTTAATTAGCTTTTCGCTTGCTGGTATCCAACAGAGAACTATGAACACATCTGAAAGCAGGTTTACTCAGGTTTATAAGATCATTTTGTTTAGGTAATGTCTAGGGGGTTTTATTCCATAGATGAACTTAGATAAAGCTCTGGTAACCCACTCTTCAAATTATCACAAATTCCAACTAATAAAATCCAAGTGATTGAGGTCTGGCTGTGTTCTTCATTCTCTTTTTTTTTTCTTTTTTTTTAATTTTTTTTTTGACAGGCAGAGTGGACAGTGAGAGAGAGAGAGAGACAGAGAGAAAGGTCTTCCTTTGCCATTGGTTGACCTTCCAATGGCCGCCGTGGCCGGTGCACCACGCTGATCCAATGGCAGGAGCCAGGAGCCAGGTGCTTTTCCTGGTCTCCCATGGGGTGCAGGGCCCAAGCACCTGGGCCATCCTCCACTGCACTCCCTGGCCACAGCAGAGAGCTGGCCTGGAAGAGGGGCAACCGGGACAGAATCTGGCACCCCAACTGGGACTAGAACCCGGTGTGCCGGCGCTAGGCGGAGGATTAGCCTAGTGAGCCGCGGCGCCGGCTTGTGTTCTTCATTCTCAAAACAAGTTCAGTGCCCCCTGTGGTTCATGTTGATGGAAACTGAAACAAAATGGTGAAGCACGATGGAAAATGCCAATGCCTGGTGATTGCTTTAAGCTTGTTCTACACCTGTCCAACCTTGTGCTTCTCCTACCTCTCCTCTGTACTAGGATCTAGTTGCCAGGGGTGTCTCCAAAGTACTAGGGGCTAGATGACCCATTGTCTCTTCATCTGAATGCCAGGGCCTTGAGTGCAAGGATTCTGTTGATTGATGACCCAGGCCTGGAGTATGTCAGGGCACAATTCCTATTTGTTGGTTAGCATAGTCAGCTCCCTACCTCTTTAGCTAGTTTCCCCTTAACCACAAACAATAGACACTGCACCTCCAACAGATACATTCCTCAGAGTTTCCATCCTAGAAGTGATTCCTCTGTAAGCCATGACTTAGTATAGCTATAGTTAATGTCTGAAACTCTGACCCAGTTTGTGTCCAGGAACCTGATACACAGCACACCTGTTCCAGGTCTAGGCTGTGTGTTGTCAACCTGCTTCCAAAGATGCACACCCACCCAAAGCGATCCTGCTGAGTTCCTGATGAGCAGTCATGAGGCTTGCTTCAGATGATGGACCAAAGAAGGGGCTAAAGACTAGCAGTAAGTGGATATCATATAAACAGACCAAGCTTCACAACTAGTCTCAACTACTGGTGTTTAAATCTTAGTGCACATAGGAACCAAGGGCTGCATAAACTCCTTGGCTTTACTTCTGGAGAATCTGGTTCACTAAACTTGGGGCTGGAGATTAAATGGGACTTAGCACTGAAGATAGCGAAGTGATGCTGATGAGAAGGGCCTAGGCCATGCCCGAGAACCCAAACTTGACATCTGGTGTGGTCAGCTTCATTTTCTTCACTTCTGGTATCTGCACACTCCTAATCTTCTGCGGAGTGCCTGCTTAAGCTGGTTACCACATGGATCTTCTGAGTTTCATTTTTATTTAGCTCTTCATGTGGCTTAAAATTAAGTTGGCTAAAGTGAGTGAGGCTGGAAGCAAGAGATTATAGTCCTTTTTTTTGACGTTTGGGTAAAAATATATTTTCCCCTGCTTTATGTCTTGGCACTAGTGATATATTCATAGATTGCCAGTCCACACTCTCCTACTGTAACAGACACCAGATTACTGAACATGTCGCTAAGTGATCACGTTCATATGTGATAAATGACATGTTTCACATCGATACAAGTATTTACTTTCTTAAAAAAGACAAGTGTCTACCATGTGGCTTACATACATGACAATTCTGTATTAACACTGAAAGTGGGTTACACAACAGTTTTAGAAAACACACCAGTTATTTTTCAAACAGAACAATGACAAGAATCTACAAACTACAGTTTAAGGCATATCAGTATATATTTAAGATTAAGAAAGAGACAAGGTTCTAATGCTGTTCACAGCTTAATTTTCAATTTAGTTTTGAAAATTCCCTTCATACCGACCAACAAACAAGACCATGGAGGTCATAATTCCCACTAGAGAGTCCTCAAATCCATGTCCTGTCACCGGGACCAGGACTTCTGGAAGCTGATAGAATTCCAGACACTCGCAACAGCAAAGCAAAGGGATGGGAACAGACTCTGGGTAGGGACCACATGGAGATGGGGACATCACTCGAAAACCCCATGTTGACAGTCAGCTGGTTTATGAAACACTTGTGGGAGAGGTCAGCCAAGTGAGAGAACCATGGCTTTGTGCTTGAGGGGCATGGGATATGGAGACCATGTGTGACTGCTGGTGAGTTATGAAACAGAGGAAGAAAATGAGGAGCCTGTGCCCGGTGGCTCCTTTTCCTGCCTGAGACACCCATTTTGGACAAAACCTTGACCAATTAAAATAGAGCCTAAGCTGGGAAAACAGTGTCTGAATTGCCAAGAAATTCCGCACCATATGCTACAGCCTGCAGAACTGTTAGGTGTAGCTAACGTCCAGAAGCAGCAAAAAGATGGGGAGAGCCAGGGGTGGGAAAGTCTGGCCAAAAAAATGTAAAAAATACAAGCACTGGGGCAGTTAGCACCAGGGAGACACCCTGAAGATTAAAAAACAGGAAAATAAATAAAGTAGGTGGTCAGAAAGGTAGCATGGCTTAAAGCTTCCCCCTTGTTGATTGTCCAGCATGGAAGGTGGCATTTTCTCACTGTGGCTTTATTTCATTGACAGAATCAAGGACTCCGTAATACCCAAGGATGCCCATGATGCTGTGCTGAACACAGGCTGGGTTTAGCAATTTCTAACTTCCACATTGAAATCATGGAGAAGTTGAATTTAGGCGGTTCTTGTGGAAAAAAAAATACATACATATATATAAATTTGGCCATTTTAAATATATTGGATTTTTAATTAAACAAAAGCTGTTGACATCATTACCCACCCCCGCCAAAAGAAAGAAAAAAAATCCACCCACCCAATCTGTTGTCCCTAATTTTAAAAAGATCTCAAAAGTTTCTTTCTACTGTACTTACATGCAAAGGTGAAACCACATCCAATTAGATTTGAGGGTATCATTTATTCTGTGCAGAGCCAAGGACTACTGTGAAAAAAGGCATCGATACAGAAAGAAAAAAGAGCAGCAATAACAAACTAAACAGGCCTGGGGGCAGTGGTAGAAAAAGTTGAGAAGCAACACATTAAAAAAAAATAGCTTCTATGTTTCCTTTGCCTTCCTATTCCCTGCCTCTCCATGTGACATTTTCCTGTGAAAAATTTAATACAAAAAAAATTCAATCAATAATCTTGGAATCAAAAAGTCAACTGTGTGCCTTTCATTGTTAGGTTCATTTTAGTGATGCAAGACGCAGAATTTTTAAAGGTGGATGTTCTGTCACAAGGCACAAAAAATGCTCAAGCAAGCAGGGGTTGGAACAAGCAAACCACAGACATTCAGGCTTTTATTTGGGGCGCAGCACATGAGCAGATGCAGCCACGGTTAGAGTCAGCTAGTGCTTGGCTGCTCCACGCTAGCTCCAGTCCACCGCTAATAAAACAAAGCAAAAACAGAAGATGCGCAAACAAAACCACTGGTCCAGTGGCTGCTGAACCCATAAAAACAGCTGCTGCTTCGAGTTCGCAGTTTCAGTCCCAGCTTAGCTTGGGCTGCAATGAAACGGATTTCCTTACTTTGCCTAATTAAGCCTACATCCGTTCATGGGAGACCGTTCCTTCAATCCCTTATCTGCAGCTCAGAATGAAAGAAAGTGCAACCTTTCTTTGTTGGAATTCATCAGAGACAAAATTTTTAAAACATGTGCAAGGCAGGGGAGGTGCAGCATCCTCTACTCTATTTACTGAGTGGCTAAGGAAGGCCAACAGGAAAACGGAGAACTCAAGCATTGGGTTCATGAGAAATGGCACCTCCCATGTGAGAAACAGGAGACCACAGAGTGAGAAAGCTGGGGCATCTTGTGAGTAGGGGTTGGGGGAGGGGGATGAAGCCAATGAAATGCTAACCATCAGGGAGGACTAGCAGAAACCAGATGAACCATGTGCTTTCCCATACAGACCAGGGGTACAGTCCTTGTCCCGGCATATGGCTTCCGTCCTAACCCTCAATGAGGCCACAAGGAGCAGGTGCAGCTAGGTGTGCGAAGGGCCCAGGTGAGGAAAACACCTTCGGGACAACTGGATTGGAAACCCCAGCTGCTTTGTTCCGTCTGCCTTTACCACCAAATGTGGAAAGGAGCCTAAGCGAGTTGGACATGAGGCTGGGGGCCGCTTGCTGGGCTCGCGCGCTGGGCTGCGCTCCTCTCCACCTCCTGCTTCAACCGCCAAGCGCACGCGTGCGCTGCGCCCTGCACGTCAAGTGTACCATCGGCACGACCTGCGGGCGTTCTCTAGCCACGATTAAGGACAAGGTGCGCCAGAACGACCCCTCTTCCGGAGCCCTGCACCAAGTCCTCCCCTGCAGCTCGCTGAGAGCGCGCAGGTGTATTCAGGAAAGAGTCCTCAAGGTGGTGGAAAAATCCATGACACATAGCAGAAGGCTCCTGTGCTAAGCGAGGCCACCGGCACACCTGGTGAACATCACCACCTGGCGCTGGCTCCGGTCCGCTCCAGCTGGGCTGGGGTCTGGGAGGGAGGGTGTTCAGATGCAGTCTTGCACTGCTTGGTCTGAACAGACGCCCCCAAGTTCAGGCTGCAGAACGTTATCGCTGATGATGAACGTGAAGGGACAAGTCCTAGGGGAATCGGACGCCCGGCTCTGCCTACCTACTCCTCTACCTCGGTGGAGGGGGGGTGGGGTGCAGAGGAGAGACCGTGAGTACAGGGTCTGCGAGATCGTGGAGGTGGGGAAGGGAGGATATGCAAGTTCTCATGGCTACCCAGGGCTTTAGCTCAGAGGCTGAGGTGGTGAGAAGTCTCCATGTCAGTCGTGCAGGCGCATCTGACCCCGCATTCCTTGATCCAAAGCGACATACAAGTAACAGGCATGCTTCCTGCTGCCATTCAGAAGGTGCACAAAAAGCCAATCAGGTACTGTCCAGATGCACAGGGCTCTCGCTGTTATTCCCTTGTTCTGTCATTCCCAACACCCGACAAAACAGCAAAATGAGTTGAGAGTTACTGGTGTTTGGGGAAGGGTAAAAAAACAAAATCAAAAACAAAATAAAACCGAAGGACACAGACGGCAGAGATACGATACTACTGCAAAGCAGGTGAAGGCGGAACGTCTTGGCTCGCCAGGCTGTATGTGAGGCTTGCATTTTTCTTATCCTTGTCTTTCTTGGTCTGCTGGGCCCCCGACTGCCGGGCCTGGGACTGCAGGAGCTGAGCGGCCGCCTTCTTCTGGAAGGCGCTCACCTCCTCCTCCAGCTCCTTCTTCTCGTCTTCCACCTTCTTCTCTTCTTGGTGGGTCTGCTTTAGGAGGTCGAACTTCTCGTCAGCTCCTTCTCCGCCTCTTTAAGCTCCGCTTCTTTCTCCTTCACTCTCATCACGAACATCTGTCTCATTTCTTCTTCCTTCTTCTGCAGTTCTCCCGGGGATTCATTCCTCTTTGCTTCGTACATCTCCTGGAGACTGAAGGGCTTGCTGTCGGGGTCCGTGTCCTTGAACCCCATCTCCTCGAGCTCACAGCGCCGGTACAGCTCGTAGTGGCGGGTGTGGGTCTGCTAGTGCAGGTCCCCCATGTCCACGCGGATCAGCATCTCCCGCAGGTTCACAAAGTCGCAATGGTTTTCCACCTGCACCATGCCCCAGGGGTACTGCCGGGCCTTGGCCATCTTGTTGCCGATCTTCACCTCCTCGGTGCTGCTGACCACAGCAAACGGCAGATGGACGCTCATGGTCACGTTGATCTCCACCACCGTCTCTTCATCCGTGGGGAATTGGCATATCTGGACCCCGTTGCTCACTAGTTCACTCATGATTTTGCTCCTGAATTTGTGCAGTTCATTCTTGGCAACGGTGTCAGCTTTTGCAATGATCGGAGTGATGTTAGCCTTACTGTCCAGCTTTTTCATGGTCACCAGGTCCAGGGACTTCAGCGAATGTCCAGTGGGGGTGATGAAGTAGAGGCAGGCGTGGATCCGGGTGTCGTGGTGGCTGAAGAGAGAACGCTTAATCTTCAACTCCTCCTGCAGGTAGGCCTCGAACTGGGCATCGATATACTCCACGATCGGCTTATAGCTGTCATCTTTATTTGTTTGATCTCCAAATCCCACGGTGTCCACAATGGTTAACTTCAGCGAATATTGCTTTCCTGAAGCTCATAACTTCTGGCTTTCAACCGGAAACCGGTTCATTGTGAGTAGCGGGTCACACTCAAATTTGGTGTTGAACAAGGTGTCCATTAACGTGGATTTGCCAATGCCCGTCTCCCCGACGCACAGGATGTGATGTAGACTTGTTGACCAGCAGATCAGGGAGACTGTCGAATCCAACATGGCCAGAAAGGGACAAATTCCGAAGCTCTTCATTAGACCGTCTCCCCACGGCCACCCGGGTGCTGTCCGCCCACACTGGCGGCTGCCAGCGCTCCGGCTCCAGCTCGCCTCCCTGCGCCTCGCTCGCGGCTGCGCTCTGCTGGCGCCCGGCTCCCGCTCCCAGCCCGCGGCATCTGCTCAGAGATTATAGTCCTGACCAGAGAGACGAGTCAGAAGACACAAAAGTGCCCTCACCAAGGTATCTCTTTAAATTTTTAATGACTAGAAAACGATAATTTTAAAACATGAAGCCAAGAAACAGGAGAGTGCCTTCGGACCTAGTTTCTTTTCAAACTCCATTCACCCATGTGGTTTGAATTGAGAAAACTTGAGCATATGGTGGTGTCAGCAAAGTCACTAAAATATTTAGCTGTTGCCTAGAATCTTGCAATACAAGGAGTTTTCAATCTGCTTTCAAACTCTTTCAAGGGGTCAGTGATTCCCAGGGTTGTCACAAAGTTCTCAAAATCAATTTAATTTTAAATTTTTATTTAAGTAGAGCAATTTCTGTTTAAAACATTTCTGATGCAATAAAGAAAAATTACAAAATAATACCTATTATTCTTTCCTAGAAAAATAAATCATTTTATAACATTTTAGTTGATTTCCATAGTTGATTTAAAATTTTTATTTGTTTGGAAAATGTCTGAAAGTCAATATGAGTGGATAAAGAAAGCATAGTATATGTCCAATGGGATACTGTTTAGTGATAAAAAAGGATAAAGTCCTGTCATTAGCAGGAAAATAGATCTAACTGGAGGGTGTTATGTTAATTAAAATAAACTGGACACAGAAAGGCAAATAGCTCATGTTTTTTCTCATGTGTGGAACCTGAAGAACCTCAATCTGAACAGAGAAGAGTCAATACCAGAGACTGGGAGGAATGGGGGGAGATTAAAGGGAGGTTGCATGAAGGTCCCACATCAGCCAGATTGAAGGAATCAGTTCCTAGCATTACACAGCACAGTGGGATCATTATAGTTCACAATAACTCATTATATATTTTCTGGGCAAATAGAAGAAAGGAGGGGCTGGCATTGGGGCACAATGGTTTAAGCCATTGCCTGTGATGTTCTAGTATCCCATATAGGTGCTAGTTCTAGTCCCTGATGCTCCACTTCCAATCCAGTACCCTGCTTATGCTCCTGGAAAAGCAGCAGAGGATGGCCCAAGTAATGGGGTCCCTGCTACCCATGGGAGATCTAGATGGAGTTCCAGGCTCCTGGCTTTGCTGTGGCCATCTGGGGGAGTGAATGAGTGGATGGAATTCTCTGCACCTCCCCCCACCATCGCTCACAATCACTCTCACCACCTCTCACTGTAACTCTCTTTCAAATAAATAAATCAATCTTAAACAAGCAAAATAAAACAAAAACAAAGAAAATAAACAC